ATGTTTTTAAAAAATAACTAGAAACAGTGAGTGAAAGGAAAAATCTGCCATAAGGCTTACCATGTTTGCGTGATAAAATCTGAAACACCTGTATTCAATTTTACTTACATAACAAACGCGATTGGAGGTTATATTAAACGTGATCATTTGCATCGTACCGTATAATTTCAACCAGTAGCACTGGTGAGGGTTACTGGTTACCAAAGTTGCGGAAGCGTTTTACTTTCAGTCACACCGGTTTTTTCCCAATTTTCGTTTGCCTGATTACCACTTACAAGCCAGTTAAAATGTACTCACAGAGAGAATTAACTACAACTCACACGAAATGGCATCAGAGATATAAACGTAGCATGAATTGGCATACTTTGGTCTGTCGTAGCACCAACAAATGCAGCTAAACTAAACAAACAATGCCGAACGAAAAGGATATAAAGGCATTCGGAGTTTGACAACGACTTTACTCGCAACACCTTTATAATCAAAGTATACCGACCCAGTCAGAAATGAAAGCTATCAATATGTTGAAAAGCGTTTGGTCTAAGCTGATCAGCAGTTTTGATTGATGCGTAGCATAGCGTACCTACTCGTTATCCGATGTGGACGCGTGACCGAGAACCTTCAGTTAGGTGTGTCCAACTAAACTATTGACCCACAGAGCTACTTATTTTGGGGCTTTAACCACCACCTACTTACAACATCTACCACTGGACCCTATAATCTTAACCTTAAGAAGACTTAGAAAATTCGTAGCCGCTCAGAATAGCTATACTTGATCAGTAGTTATGTTATCAGGATGTAAACATATAAAGCAGGTTGATAACACATAAAATTTAATATGCATTGGTAATACGAGAGTTACTTGGAATTTGTTGATGGTTGTTTTGTCGATAGGCTCAAAAATGATTCCTTAATTTTCATAACAGACAGATAACTCCAAAATTTAGGATACTGTTCAAGATGATGATGCGTGACTATCCAGGTAGCGTTAAAAATCACAGTTTATAAGTGTGTGACGGGTATAAAAAAGCGTTGGTAATATCGCAGCATTCTGAGGTAAAACATGGTATGATATATGAAGTGGTATATCTGATGAGCAATAACCATTATGATATTTGAAGACTACGAAGAGAAATGGATACCGGACTGGACAAAAACGTGTATTTAGTAACAATGATTGTATGAATTAAGTGAAAGTTGAAAAAGGGATGAAAAGTATTTTTGGATTTAGAGCTATTGGTACGGGTTTACAGAGCGCGGGGCAAATCTAGTGTGCGTTACCTCTGTTCGGAACGTTCCGTCTGGACGTATATATACAGTGATGTGTTGTTTATGTACAAAAAACAATTGTTACGGCGCATAAATGTGAGTCATCATGTAATTCAGGTTCTGCTGTATCACGTGTTCCTGTTGGATAGTAGTGTGATGTGTTAACACATGATACCTATTAATTAATGGGTTTGCGTCAGGTTAGATCTATGCTAGTGTTTGTACGTTGGTTAAATATCGTAGATTGGTGCATGTGTAGCTTCGTGGTCGGAATTTAGCCTAGAGATTATCTGGGCTGGGAACTGGGTGAGCTATCTATTCGGCGCAACAGCATACACAGCATTGAAAGGAAATAGATATTTGCACAGAATATGTGGGATCATGATGTACCTGATTTCACGTAGGGTCTGTCGCTTTTCACCAGGTTGAGCTGATAACACTGAATAAAGTTCCTTATCACTTCGTCTATATTTTTTCGGCATTTGGCTTGTTATAAATATAGCTAGGTGCCAGGCAAACAGCCTAGGCTTTTTTGTACCATATCCTTGCGTATGTACGCATAAAAACTCATCTTGAGACCACTATGCTTTGTTGGTAGGAAATATTTGATTCTAACGCCTAGTTCCTTATGTAGATCTTTCTCTTGAAGTCAATTTCTCTATGAGCGGTCAATCAATCATAGGAAGAAAATAAAAGTAACTTAACGGGTGGTAATATGCTCGTTTACAAGAAGTGTTTCATGTAGACTCATGCATTCTTTCTGAGTGGTAACTACGAAACAAATCATTGATAACAACTGGAGTTATTTATGGGGTCTACTTGTATCGCTGACTAGAGCGTACCTTTTTCGTGATTGTACTAGGAAATAAAAAGTGTCACCATTTGAAGTATCTAGTCTTCTGAATAACGAATTCGGGATTTTATACTTCGTTATAGCCGTCCATCCCTAAAATGGAGTAAGATCGATAGTCAACTACATAAACTCATAACTATGGTTTTCGTTTCCAAATTAGTATTTATATTGTTTTTTTTCAAGCTACCTCCGTTGCCTAACCTAAAGCTTTTAGTAAGAGTAATTACAATCAAACAGAAAGCTTTGATTTTTGGGTTCCAGTTTTCCTTATTATATTGTTTGTCTTAACGGTACCATTAATTCGCTGTAATGATGGGATAATCCAGGTTTTCAATGTATGATGTTGGTAAAAGTGTAGAGTGAAAAACTTCCTCATTAGGTTTCCATAGGATTTAAGTAGAATATTGTGGTTTTCGATGCCTGTTACTTTTCATTAGTAAGGTTTGTATCCATTCTTATAATCTTGTTCACATAACCTTGTGTGGTTAACACAGTATTCGTAAACATTTATTTTATTTGACAACATTCATTGTGAAAACAATCCAAGATAAATATAAGCTACGCAAACCAGAGAATGAAGTTTTGAAGAGATAAATAAAGGTGATGTGGTATAACCAAGTAAATAAATGAATGTTAGTAATTGCGAAACTTCATCAATTTACGTGGTTGGGACTTGCGTTACTTATACTCTCGGAGAGCGATGTTGTTTGATATAGGAGTAGGCAGGAACGAAGCTAGGGTCGGTCAAACGAAATGTGCTATCAGTCCATGAAATCATTGACAAGTGGACTATCTGATTGGGATTAACTTTATTTTCTTCTCTTAAAACCTGAGTCCCGAAACCTTATACTTTTCTTTATCTTTCTCGATATTTAATATTTTCTACTACTGCTACTTCTAATACTGATGCTGTCACTATTTCTACCACTCTGTGTTGATGTGGTACGGTAATTTAAACTGATACATATGTATCAGGTTTTCGTTGAGTATGGCTGACTAACGGTCATAAATTGCACACTAACTTTTTCCAATCAATCTCAACGTTTTCGGATGAAGTACAATTTATAATTGATTAATCACCAAGTAGCGACCAATATTGTATTTGTTTAGTGGGTTCGGATCCCACTCCTGACACTACACTTAGCTCCCAAATGCCCTGGTACGGCTTAAGAGTGGGGAGAGTCCGCTCTCCCTCTCGAAATGCTTTCACATGGCCACGCGTATATAGCCTCTGCCAGGGAAGTCCTTCGGTCTGGGCACCCGGGCAGTATCCCAGCCCACGCACTAAAACATAATGAACTATTTACTTATGGAAATAAGTCCTACTCACTGCCTTCTCGTGGCGGGGGTGTTGTTTACGAAAATGAGAGGACGAAAAGCGAATGTCCGGCGCTTTAACCGGATCCCGAACCAATGGTACCCATGGGCTCCAGTATCCTGAAGGAACAAATGGCGTATGAACCAATCGTTGGTCACCGGCCACAATGGGACTGCATCTCTTCACGATGCTCCACTGCCTTGTGGATCAGATCTTCAGGTCGAAGGCTCTGGTTGTGGCCCCCTAAGAAAACCACCTGCTTCGGTTTGGGAACCCGGGCAGTATCACAGCTCTCACACAAATCAATTGAGATTAGTGTGGCGCATATGTATTTGGTGCCTCCTTGTACCAATATCTATGTGTTAAAATAAATAAATTTAGAGCTGATTAGATTTTGCATATAGAGATGCAAAGTCGACACTAGTTTCAGCATTTGACATCGCATGCGCCGTGTTGATATTTTAGATGCCTGGAGGCAGTCTACATGGAATCTTAGACCTAGGTTTCATGCTGTTTGAAACTTGTCAGCAAGATCAATGATCTAATTTACTTTAATCCTTCAACCAGCTCCAGTTACCTATATATTACGGTGCAAATCGTTTACAAGTATCGAGTAACGCAAAACCTACGTCAAGAGTTAACTGTCAACTAGTACTGCAATACCTATTAAATGCGGTTCCATGACGAAATCATTTAGCTGGTGGTAAAAATCATCTTTGAGTGCATCCAACTGCCATGTTGGAGGTTACTTCTGACAAATTAGATAGGGTAACTTAAAAACAATGATTAGGTTGTGTATAAATTTGTTATTTCAACCAAACATATTCGGCTTAAATATAGCTTATGTTGTTCTGTTCAACGTTACCTGTATAGTTTAAGAACAGATTCAAATGTCCACAAAAGTATTGTAGTAAGCGACAACGAGCACCAAAGGTAAGTCAAGGAATTTCTTGCTTCGCTTTGCACCAACATTGTGTCTTTTCACTACTGACGTCCGATCCACACTAAAGACTAAAACACATAACTCGTCATTTTGCGACGCACAACTTTTGAAGTTGGGTTGCATACATCACATTGTTCTCAGCATTTTTAACCTAAAACTCTCAACATATGGCCCTGTTATTCACTTCACATATCTCACTTTGCTGACAAAGTGTATTTGTAGTTTAGTTTTTCCTCCTAAAAGATTCACGTCATATTTCCTAATCCAACATCATCAGATGCTCCGTTAAAAATTTACGTAGTTGTTATTATTAATATTTAGTCACTATAATGATTAAAATAACTTGACGAAGCCACTATCTTAAGGAACTTCTTAGTCCTTGATCAATTTTCGGTTCCATCGAAAGTCACATATTTTTTAACACTAGGTTTTTACTAATTAATTTCTTTCTAACTATACCTTTTTTTATGCTTAGGAGTGCGAAAAAACCAAAGCTGCCTGGTTTAAACATTCGTGGTAGCTCAAGTAGACCCGACTGGGATTCTGTCGGAACAATCAAGTTTTTCACTGACAAAGATGGCGACATTAGTGGTTTAGATGAAGCAATGAGAACTATTAGTATGGGTACTCGGCAGTCTGGAGAAGCAAATGTGCATTCACCATCCTCACATGTAGGTTATCAAATGATTAAACGTTTAATGCTCTCTCTTCCTTTTTTCTTCCTTCCTTTCTTTCTTTCTTTCTTTCTTTCTCTCTCTCTCTCTCTATATATATATATATATATATATATATATATATATATATATCACTGTACTTAGTGATTTGTGCTGTAAATAAGCATCGGTAAAAAAAACAAACCAATCGGCACTTAACAAGTAACATTTTGATAGTTAATTTGACTGTTATCAAACTATTTATTTATTTTATTTTAACACATAGGTATTGGTACAAGGAGGCACCAAGTACATATGCGCCACACGAATCTCAATTGATTTGTGTGAGGGCTGTGATACTGCTCGGGTGCCCGAACCGAAGCAGGTGGTTTTCTTAGGGGGCCACACCCCGAGCTTTTGACCTGAACGTCTGATCCACAAGGCAGTGGAGCATCGTAAGGAGATGCAGTCCCATTGTGGCCGGTGACCAACGATTGGTTCATACGCCATTTGTTCCTTCAGGATACTGGAGCCCATGGGCACCATTAGTTTGGGGTCCGGTTAAAGCGCCGGACATTCGCTTTTCGTCCTCTCATTTTCGTAAACAACACCCCCGCCACGTGAAGGCAGTGAGTAGGACTTCCCTGGCAGAGGTTTTATACGCGTGGCCATGTGAGAGCATTTCGAGAGGGAGAGCGAACTTTCCCCACTCTCGGCCGTACCAGGGCATTTGGGGGCATTATCAAACTACTTATATAAATCAGTAGCATATTAGTTTTTGATACGTTATTATGTAATAATTTCTTACATATGTATTTTTTTCTGCTATTTCTCTCAATTCATCTAGACAAGCGACAAAGATTCCACATCATATACTGGATATATTGATGAGTATAGTGGGCAAAATAAATTAGATGTTGAAATTGCTGTTGAAGCAACAAGCATTTCTGAATCAACTAGTCCCACGGATCTGATTGATTCAACTGAGTCGGCTAAAGAAACTCATGGTTATATGAATGAATCAAGTTTTAGTCAACAAGAAAATGAACCCCTTGGTGTTTTCTCATTCAGTAACGATCTAAATACGAACTCGAATGTTCTTCCGTATTCTATCGATGTTTTTAGGACTACTGACAGACATAATTCACTGGACTTAGATGAGTAAGTTTTTCAATCTATATTGTCATGTGACTCAACCAATATTGAATATTGTATAACGTCTTGATGTTATACCCTTAGTGTTGATTAAAGAAATATATTTATAGCTATGGATTAGATCCTTTTATGGATTGATTGGCTAATTTTTATACTTTTGTTTTGTAGAAAATCACTCACAATGGTATCCGACCCTGCATTATTTAGTGGCACAGTTTCAAATACCGATATCATTATATGCAAGCTTTATTACTTAAGCTAATGTAAAACTGACTATTATGTTCATTTATTGGTAATCATATAATTACAGGAAGAATCACCGTTTACCTCAGGTTTGTTAAACATTACAAACCATGACTCCCAAAATAGATATAGAGAAAATAAGCAGTAAATCTAAAATCTGAATTTCTCAAAAATATCATACGTATGATCTTATTGATTTAGATGATCTCTTCTTACACATTATAGTCATGTGATGTAATTAGTTCACTTACATTATTCTGTTTAGCCATGATTGTACCACCAATTGTTTTTTTTCTAGTATATATATTATAATCAATCTGTATGGTGTAGTCTATTTTTGGCTCTATTCCTTTATGAGCACGGTGAAAGTGGAAAATTGGTTCACTGCAATAAAGTAATGTTTTATCACTTCATATAGCCGTTGAATACTTACTAAAGTGCCACTATCATTTTATCTTCTCAATAAGTCACTTTGCTAGTCTTCAGTTTTCCATTTCGTTTATTACTGATTACGTCAAGTTATTAGCTAATGTAACTAATAATTTTTTATTTGTATCTGCTTGCACTTTATAATTGATCATCCACATTTATCTGAATTTTGTGCTGAGTAATCTTGAAGGTTATGGCGCTTCACTCCTAAATGTTAATTTAGAGGTCTGAACATAGCCCCAATTATTCTGAATTAGACATTGTGAACTATCAGCATCACTCGCACAAAAAGGTTTGTCTGAAAGTTAAATAACTCCATTTGTAACCCTTCTACAGTTACTGTCGGTTTCTAGCTCGGATAGAAGGGTTGGGTATGGGGTCAGAAACTTCATCCCGTGGAAAACAACATTATTAAAATACTAACCAGAAAAAGTCATTTAAACCATTTGAACTCTGTCCTGGGAGTTGAAGGATATTAATTTAGAGCAGTTATGACGCCTGATGGTGAAAGTCAAGATTCTTCGGAATCCACGAGGCGGATGTCACTTCTAACGACCAGAGCGACAATTAGTATAGGTATATGGGATGTCCAAACAATGCAGTAGACTAAGGGAACCGATCAAATAGGTGCGGAAACGAGGAGATACAACTTGACTGTCCTCAGATTAGGTGAAACCCATTGGACCCAAGCTGGACAGAAAAGATTAGTTTCAGGAGAAAGGCTGTTGTACTCTGGTCATGAAGAAAATGACTCACACACACAAAAAGAAGTTGCACTGATGCTGTTCAATGAAGCACGAAAAACACTTATAGGATTGGAGTCTCAAATCAAAAAGATGGATAGCAATTGAAAGCATCTGGAAAGGATTGCCCAGGACAGAGTTGGTTGGAGAATCCTGGTTGGCGGTTTATGCTCCTCCACAAGGGGTAACAAGCGTAATGAAGCAATATGTATTTTGCTATCCCTTTGTATTAATATTTTCATTATTTAAATCAATAAATAGATAATCACATTCCAAAAATATCAAAATTATCTGACCTCTTTGTCGAAGTTGTAAAGCTTATGAGTGGTTGTTTCAACAAGCCAATGTATCTGAAAGTATATTATATTGTTGTTTTATTATAGTTGTCTGTAAAACATAGTGGTTCAGTACTAATTGGCTGGAGGGAATCGTTAGAGTTCAAAGTTTACTATGATAAACAGTAGAAATTAATTTAACCTGTCGTGCTCGATTTTTTCACGGAAATTATTTCCCATTATTAATGTTATATTTTGTTAAAGCTTGTATATATATATATATATATATATATATATATATATATATATATATATTAGTAGTAGAATAAATGAAATAACCAATTTGAGCTTATTGTATGTTGTGATCCTTGAGTCATATTGATCGCTTTTGACATTAAGCTTAGAGATGTGGATTGGTAAGAGAGGGCATTGTTTTTAATTTCACTAAGTATATCTCATCTCGTACAGTAACGTTGAAGTATTCACTTATTTGTTAATGAATTTAACACAGGGTTGATTAATTCATTCACGATAAGTATATTGATATGTAAATTCCAAACTTGCAGGTTCATTGTCTTCGTCATTTACTATAAAAATAGCGTTCGACTATTGAGGTATATGTGTGAATTCTACGCATTTGACAGAGCTGGCTGATAAACCTTGTGGAAGTATAGGCCACCGACCAGGATTCTGCAATTTAGATTTTTACCTTCCACTAACGAAATCGTGCTTTGTATTAATTCATATACAATCTGTTTTCATAGTCGACTATTCTTTTTGTGACACTGAAACCCTTCGTGGAGGAGCATAAACCGCCAACCAGGATTCTCCAACCAACTCTGTCCTGGGCAATCCTTTCCAGATGCTTTCAATTGCTATCCATCTTTTTGATTTGAGACTCCAATCCTATAAGTGTTTTTCGTGCTTCATTGAACAGCATCAGTGCAACTTCTTTTTGTGTGTGTGAGTCATTTTCTTCATGACCAGAGTACAACAGCCTTTCTCCTGAAACTAATCTTTTCTGTCCAGCTTGGGTCCAATGGGTTTCACCTAATCTGAGGACAGTCAAGTTGTATCTCCTCGTAGAAGGGCTACAGGTAAAGTTACGTATTGTCCGATAACTGATAAAAGACAATCCTCTAACAAATTGTTTAAAATCTGTTACTCATTTTATTCCCACATATCTTCTTATGTCTTCTATGCATTTCATTTGGAATGTCCAGTTAACTAAGCCTAATAAATGCAAGAAACGGCTTAGAGTAGAAAAAAATTCTGGCTGTTATATGAATTTGTACAATGATTAAAAAATGATATTAGAGTATAATTATTTACCAAATATAAACGATACTGTAACTGTAAACAGTTTATGGTATTTATATTTACTACATACATTTGATTATATTTTATGACTAAATCCTTTCACCTACTATTTTATTTTTTGATATTTAGCATATTTACTATTTATCACCTTTTTGTATATTTAAATCATATTCCTCCATGATTTTAAATAAAATTCGGGAAAGTTTATTATTATTTCAGAAAATATGTACGATTTGAAAAATCAATTAAACACTCAATTCAATTGGCAAATTATATAAACGTGTTGTCTGTCATAGTTTATATTTAAATTCAACTAAACGACATAATCTAGGGTGGTTTAGTGAAATGAATAAACTTTAGATTGTTAAATGCAGTCATTAATTGATTGACTGATTGATTGATGATTTAATATTGTTGAGTTTTGTTTAAACTATCGATTTTAAAAATGGCAAGTCAATAATACGCAGAAATCGTTTTCTTAAATTGTTTCACGTGTTTTCTCGACTATTTTTCTTTTAAAAATTATTTTCCAGTAGATATATGATCCTCGTACTCCCATTTGTAGTCTGTATTAATGATGGTCTCGAACAAACAGATTCTATGGTAGTAGTTAAGTGAATGTATGGTCTATTTGTGAGTAATTTAGATTTTTACCTTCCACTAACGAAATCGTGCTTTGTATTAATTCATATACAATCTGTTTTCATAGTCGACTATTCTTTTTGTGACACTGAAACCCTTCGTGGAGGAGCATAAACCGCCAACCAGGATTTTCCAACCAACTCAGTTCTACGCACTTTTTTCCGGTTGTTTTCAATCTCCATCTATTCTTTTGATGTCTCCCTGGAAACGACTGGAAAGGATGGAGAATGCTGGTCGGCGGCCTATGCTCCTCTATGAGGGGTAACAGGCGTAAGTAAGTAAGTGTAATAGTTCTCTAAGTTCCAGCTTCGTACAATAGAACTGTCTTGACGCCTGTACTGAAGGTTCTGACTTTGGTGTTTGCTGACAGTTGTTTAGAGCTCCATATGTTCTTCAACTGCAGGAATGCTGTCCTTGTTGTGCTAATCTTTGCCATTACATTTGCATCAGATCTTTCCTGTTTATCAATGATTCTGAGGTTATATCTACATCCCAGTGTTGATGCTCACACCAGGACTCGAATTCTACCTTTTTCTTCAAACGCCTAATGCACTGGCACCCGCTGAGTTAGTTGGTCCCTACAGTTTGTTTATGTCACTATAAGAAAGAGTCTGAATTATTCTGTTGTTGATATCATAGACTGGATTTTGATCAGTATTTAATGGGATGTGTATCCTGTACGGATCTCCTCGACATTGCCACTTTGGTTACGAGTTAAATCAATCAACTGTCGTTAGTTTAGCGTTTAGAATTAATATCCAGTGTTTTATCTAAGCATATTTACCTATTGTTGTGACTGATACGCAACTACTGTTTATGCTATTGAGTGGCATATTTATTAGCTCACACAGCAAATCATAAGCCTTAGTTTTTGTTATAATCTGATCACATGGTTAGCATAGTGTGCTTTTATTGTCTAATTATCGGTATGATAGTTTTTTCTCTCCTGTTTGTTTTGTTACTTTTCTGAGTGTTAGTTGATGATTGGATAATTGTTTATCTTCGTAATATTTGTGCATATGTGTGCGCTTATCTTTGTATATCTGTCTTGATATTGATGATTTATATCATATATATATATACCCGGATACACGTACACACGCGATCAAATTTATCTTTAATTATAATATTCTTTGATTGTAAGAAAAATTGTTTCCAGTTAAGTTTATAAGGTCAGTTCTCATTAACTAATTATACATCGTGTCGAAATCAGTTTTTTTTCTTAAATTGCTATGTTAATTTATAAGTTAATAACTTTTTAACCTTATCGTTATCGTTAATACTGTTGTTGTCGTCAGTTTCATAATCCATCCACATTGTTATTATTAAAAAAACATGTTAATTTTGACAAACA